GTGCCAGTTCAAATCGGTCTTCCGTGGCTTCCTCAGCTTCCCCAAAACATACCTGCTAGACTCTGTTTTCCTCCTTGTTTTCCTTTGTACTGGCTTTCGCTGTCTCCCTCATTTTGTGCCGCCTCTGCAGGTCTGTTCAGTTACATCTTTCTTTCTCACGGCTGATGGGGGTGAATTTCAACCCCCCGCCCCTCTTTTTTGGCAGGTGGCCGAGAGTCAGATGTGTGCTGTGACCTTGAGCTGGTTGGAATCGATGTCTTATCTCGGGCCTAGTAGGAGCATGGAGTTAACCCGTTCTCTGCTCTCTTCTTCCTTCCCCCCTCTCTCTCGGCCTCTCGTAACCTGCAAAGGAATCTTCCATTCCACACTTTCCCATTTAACCCCTTCCCAACATGCCTTGCGATGTTTGCAACAGTGTTAGCCACTTACAATGCTGATCTGCCTTCCCTGGGGGCTCCCTGAGGGAGAGGCCATTGGGGTGTGACACTATGGCTCAGGCCACAAGGCTATATCTATGTAAGAGATTACCCAGTAGGATGGGGCCCATTCCTACAGCCGTTGCTCAGACTGCACTGCCACTGACTGCTGCCAGAATGCTGAGTAAAGCCTGCAGGATCTGGCCCTGGCATCCCGAATTCAGCACCAAACAAGCACACCTTCTCCAATGTAGAACAACAGCAGGGGCTGAAAAATGTTTCCAAATCCCTGAAGTCTGCAGAGAAAGTGCTCTGGTTCCTCAGTGCAGGACAGTGTGTCCCAGATTACATCGTTTCTGTCAGCAGAGAGAACAAAGGCCTTGTTAGGCAGAGCTCTGTGCATTGAACATAAGATCATAAGAACATAAGAACAGCCATACTGGGTCAGACCAAAGGTCCAGCTAGCCCAGTATCCTGTCTTCCAACAGTGGCCAATGCCAGGTGCCCAGAGGGAATGAACAGAACAGGTAATCATCAAGTGATCCATCCCGTTGCCCATTCCCAGCTTCTGGCAAACAGAGGCTAGGGACACCATCCCTGCCCATTCTGGCTAATAACCATTGATGGATCTATCCTCCTTGAACTTATCTAGTTCTTTTTTGAACCCTGTTATAATCTTGGCCTTCAAAACATCCTCTGTCTATGAGTTCAATGGGTTCACTGTGCATTGTGTGAAAAAAATAGTTCCTTCTGTTTGTTTTAAATCTGCTGCCTATTAATCTCATTTTGTGACCCCTAGTTCTTGTGTTATGGGAAGGAGTAAATAACACTTCCTTATTTACTTTCCCCACACCAGTCCTGATTTTATAAACCTCTATCATATCCCCCTGAGTTACTGGAGGGGGATGCTGAGCAACCCCCTCCCCCCCCGCCGCCTTAGTGGAGAAGCCATTTTGGAGAAGCTGCTTCCCAAATCCTTGAGTTGGATTCTCCAACAGGCCACCTTGGAAGACAGGGTAATGAGCCCTAGACAGACCTTAGAGGAAAGGGCGGTGGTATTTAGGGGAAACTGTTGGAGCTTCAGGCTATGACACCACCCTATCCCCATCCACACACACAAAAGGCTTTCAAGAGTTACCCCCAATCCCAAATAAACAAAGCGAATTCTGACAGGCTGGGTCCTCAGCTGGTGTAAATTGGCCAGAGCTTGATTGAAATCAAAGGGCCAGGTCATCAGTTGGTGTAAATAGCCCTAGCTACTTTGAAATCAATGTAACTGCATCAATTTACACCAGCTCAGGACATGACCTTTCATTTTTCATGCTTGCCTCTGGGTACCTCTTAGTGGCCAACTTTGAACACCCTGGGCAGCCCGACCTGTGGGTTCCTCTGGTGGCTGCCTCCCAAGAGCTGATGATGCAATGCAGGAGAAAAAATGCTCCCAGTGGTAATCATGTGGAGTTAATGAAGGAACAGGTTATTCCAGGCCAGCTGAGCTTCTGGTGCCGCTAGTCTCTTAATTATTGTATGTTACATGCCTGTGCTATAAATATACATTTGACTTGTCAAATACCTTAGCCAGATCTGCCTTGTTTTTTAGCCAAAGGTCCTTTAAGGGATGTTGCCATCGTGTGAGATCCAGGGCAGGTGCTGTTCCCCCTCTGGGAGGTTAGGGTTGGTTTGGACAGATTGTCCAGGTGGTTTGTTCCTGAGGTCACATCAGAGCTGGGCTCACAGCTCTGGAGACCGGATTCAGCTATTTAGACCCAGAGCAGGGACATACTGAGCTGTGACAGTGTTTGATGCCTGCACAACCCAGGAGCAGTTCTAGATCTTCAGGGGTTTTCAGTCCCTCAACCCATTTAGTCCATCGCCTCTTGGCCAAGCCTGCCTAAGGAGGGGAACAGGGAGCACCCACCTGTGGAGTGGCTTCCTGTCTGCTAGGAACTCCGGAGAGACCCAGGGACTCAGGAAATCCATCCATGGGACATGGAAACCGCTGCTGGATAATGCAGTGATGTTTACATGAGAGAGATAAGGTGATAGACTGTTGTGCATGGACATATATAGATAGATAGTGGCCAAATTTTCTACCACTGGAGGGTCAAATGCATCACAAATTGGGAAAAATTATCCAAAGACCAGCACAGTAAGTTTGCTATTTCAACTAAATAAATATGTTAGAGTATTAATGTACAGGGCAAATTTAAGAACCTAAATCTGACTTCCAATTTTAACTCTTTATAACTTTTGCTATCTATTCAATCAAACAAGTAGGGATAGTCAGATTTTTTTTTCTTTCCTTTTTGTTAGTAAATATTGTCTTTTCACACAGGTCCCCTAAATACCCAAATTTTGGGGCTTTGGCAATAGAGAACCAATTTTTTTTCTGCAGAAAACTGCTGAAAACTGGAAAAGTCCAACCAAAATCCCCCCCTCACAAAAGGAAAAAAATGGCCTTTGGATAGATAGATAGATAGATAGATAGATAGATAGATAGATAGATAGATAGATAGATAGATAGATTTAACTGTAAAAACAATTTTTTTAGAACAGTTTAACAAGTACATTTTTCACCAGCCGTATTTGGAAATTATCTTTCAGGCCGAGTAGGAAGCAGTAATATTGTTTATAATTTCAAATACCATCATCCTGTCATATCCATTTTTATTTCTGTATCAAAGATATAGCAGCAGGATGGCAGAACTGAGTAAACAGCAGAGTTGACAGCCCAGAGAATATGGGCTGTACCTAACAGGCATACTAACACCTTGAAACTCAGAGTCGGGGTTCAATCGAGCAGTTGCAGCCTATCTGTCTGGACCCTGCCCAAGGACATTAAGGGCACATCTACACTGCAGCTAGGAATGTGCTTCCCAACTCAGGAAGGCAGATTTCACTAGCTATGCTGTAAAAATAACAGAGTAAATAACAGCAGCACAGGGAGTGACTCAGTCTAGCCACCTCATAAGTACGGCCATACTGGGTCAGACCAAATGTCCAACTAGTCCAGTATCCTGTCTTCCGACGGTGGCCAGTGCCAGGTGCCCCAGAGGGAATGAACAGAACAGGTAACTATCAAGCGATCTATCCCCTGTCGCCCATTCCCACTTCTGGCAAACAGAGGCTACGGATACCATCCTTGTCCATCTTGGCTAATAGCCATTGATGGACCTATCCTCCATGAATTTATCTAATTCTTTTTGAACCTCAGTACAAACCCAGCAGAACTCCATGGGTACATAGTCAGAGGGAGCATGAGCTGGTGCCCAGGCTACCTCAGGGCCACATGGGTATGTTTTCTGCAGTAACTTCAGCAGAGCTACCATATGTCCATTTACTGGAGCTGGGAAGATGCTCCCTGATGCAGCATAGATGGACCTCCAGGAGGTCAATGGGACAGGAATCCAGATCTCCTGGTCTATCACCATATCCCGTGTGCAACACTGCTGCCAGCTAAGCACAAAGGCTGTAAATGGGTGCACTGTACATACACATTATAAGCCATAGCCCATCCCCCATAGAGTTCATAAAAGATCAGGCAGACAAAGGGAAGGAGGGGAAACAGGCTCGGGGAGGAGAAGTGACCAGCCCAAGGTCACACAGCAAGCCACTGGCAGAGATAAGAACAGAAATCAAGTCTCTTGATGGTCGCTGTCCCACTCAGACCAGACATAAAGACACTGAGCGATGGTACTAGCCCATCAACACCCAGAGATGGGAGTGTAGCTGGGATTGGTGTCATCAGTCAATTTGTAACCAGGTATCAGGTCATCTATATACAGAGCTGGGGAAGGAATCATTACACACAAGCTTACATTTTGGATGCTCAGCGAGTATGTCATATTTCCCTAGTGGGAATCAGGTGGTCTTGGATTTCTAGTACTTTAGTTTCATGCCAAAGTTTTTCCTCTGTTGTTTGACAGAGGTGAGGGACCATCTTTGCTAGATCTGTGGGCTTGTAATTTGTTCTTGTCTTTAATGCATTTGTTCAAGTGACATCTTAGGCCAGATACTCATATGGTGTAAACTAGGGTGACCAGATAGCAATTGTGAAAAATTGGGAGAGATGGTGGGGGGGGAGGGGGGGAAATGGAGCCTATATAATACAAAACCCCAAGTATTGGGACTGTCCCTATAAAATCAGGACATCTGGTCACACTAGTGTAAACTGATGCTGCCCCTAGGACTATAAGAGAGTTGTGTCAATTGACACTAGTGGGCTGATTAGTGGTCTGATTGCATGCAGTAGTTGTAGCCACGTTGGTCCCAGATTATTAAAGACACGAGGTGGGTGAGATAGTCTGTGTGGTTCAAAAGTTTGTCTCTCTCACCAATAGAAGTTGGTACAATAATGGGTATTGCTTCACTTAACTAGTCTGTCTAGTGGTCTGATTGTCAGCGGTGAGTAGCACTCACTGCTCCTAGTCAATGGAAGGATGGGAGGAGTACTGTGCACATTTCACAGTAGATGATGAGGCATTATTCAGAAGGCAATAACGGTAATTCCCTCTGACTCCCTAATCCTGACCATTGCCCTTCTCCTTCTCTCCACAGCTATCACACAACGTACTGAGGAAGAAAATGTGCAACCAAACCACTGTGACCGAGTTCCTTCTTCTGGGATTCTCTGACATTCGGGAGCTGCAGATTTTGCACTTTGTGGTGTTTCTAATGATGTATCTGGCAGGCCTGATGGGAAATCTTCTCACCATCACAGCCATAGCCCTCAACCACCATCTTCACACCCCCATGTACTTCTTCCTGGTGAATCTGTCCATCCTGGACCTTGGATTCATCTCCATCACCATCCCCAAATCCATGGCCAATTCCCTCATGAACACCAGCGTGATTTCTTATCCTGGATGTGTCACCCAAGTCTTTCTCTTCATGTTCCTTGGTTCAGCTGATCTCGGCATCCTGACTGTCATGGCGTATGACCGATATGTCGCCATCTGTCAACCACTGCACTATGAGAGAGTGATGAACAGGACAGCTTGTGTCCAAATGGCAGCCAGTGCCTGGATCAGTGGTATTCTTTACTCTGCCCTGCACACTGGGAACACATTTGCAATATCCTTCTGTGGCAGTAACAGAGTGGATCAGTTCTTCTGTGACATCCCCCAGCTACTCAAGCTCGCCTGCTCTGATTCAGACCTCAGTGAAACTGGGGCTATTGTCTTCAGTGCATGCTTAGCGTTAAGCTGCTTTGTTTTCATAATTGTGTCATATGTTCAGATCTTCAAAACTGTGCTGAGAATCCCATCTGAGCAGGGCCGGCATAAAGCCTTCTCCACCTGCCTGCCTCACCTCATTGTGGTCCCTTTGTTTATTTTCACTGCCATATTTGCCTACCTGAAACCCACCTCAAGTTCCACATCACGGCTGGATCTCTTGCTGGATGTTCTCTATGCTGTGGTGCCTCCAATCCTGAATCCGGTCATCTACAGCATGAGGAACAAGGAGATCAAAACTGCCTTGAGGAAATTGATTGGATGGAGATTATTCACGACAAATAAAATGTCCATTTTTCTCGTTTGTTTTTAAGTTCCTTCTATGTTTCCTTAGAAATAAATTAACTGCTAACATAAATAAATAGATGCCATCTATTGAGGCATTTTTCATCTCTTTGATGGGGTTTTGTGAATGAGCTGAATGTTTTCTTTCCACAATGATAAAGGGGTGCAGAAGAGATATCTGCATGGTTGATTTCCTGTTGAAATAATTTTACAAATACGGATGGGATATCAACATCACTGATTTAATACTGACCTGGCTCTGTCCCAAAGACATTAGGCTAAGTTCAATAGTGACATAAACATTGGGTTAAGTAGTGTTGTTGAAGCCATGTTGGTCCCAGGATATCAGAGAGACAAGGTGGATGAAGTAATATATTTTATTGAATCATCTTCTGCAGGTGAGAGAGACAAGCTTTCAAACTTATACAGAGCTTTTCTTCAGATCTGAAGATGAGCTCTGAGTAAGTTTGAAAACTTGTCTCTCTCACCAACAAAATTGCTCCACCTTCTCTCTCTAATAAATACTGGTGTGAGTTATGTGTCTGGTGTCATATCATTATAATATTGGTGTAAGTGGAAAAGTGCCATCACATGCACTGACCCGGCATTTCATGCACCATCCAGTGTAAATCTATTCACACCCAAGCTGAGACAGGGTCTCCAAACTGGCCTATTATTAATCTTCAAATACCATCTTTTTGCATGGTTATGTACACTACATATATGATGTACAAAAGCATAGTAAGTAATTCAAGAGACAGGGCAAGAAATACTCCTTACACAGAACTATATAACTGTCACTTGATTCTATATGTACATCTATATGATTCCACTGGGTTCCTGGTTGTGGATAAGTGCATCCTAGCAGTCCAGACTGAGACACACATCCCTTCTAGTCAGTGTCTCCCACTGGGTATTCTAGGGGCCTCCTTGCTGAGTGAACTGGCTTTTGTGGATCCTATTCTGAGGTGTCTGTCTCTCCCTGTTCATTGTATAGGGAGCCGGGGCACCTAACACAGGCTTTGTGTATCCTGATGCTTGTAGAGCACCTAAAGGCCACATTTTAAAGGTATTTAGGAGCCTTGTGTGATTTCTAGAAGTATGAATTTAGGGTTTTGAAAGTTTAGGGTCTGTGCCAATCTCAGCGGAGATAGGGACCATCTCACCTCTAGATCACATGGAACAATGTGGTCCCAAGTGTGCATAAGGCAAAAGGTCATTCCATTCACTGGATATATGACAGTCCATGGTAGCTGGGCACCTTTGAAAATGAAGTTGGCTGGAAAAAGCCAGCTGAGGGCTTTGTAAAATGGGAATTGATTCAGATTCAGATTTAACAAATTGCCTCCTCTCTTTACTATTGGCCAAACAAAACCACCAGAAACAAATATCCTCAAGTTTTGGAGTGTTCAGCATCCAAGCTAGCATTCATTGCTGCCTTTATAGGGACCATTCCCTCTCTATGTACAAGTGGCAATGTTGCCATAAGCATCAATGGTTAGTAAGAATCTTCTGATGGATTTGAGGTGGCCTGTATGAAATGGACTGGGGATCTTTGTGCAGTTCCCTGATGATGTGTGTTCCCAATACACAAACATCAACCTTACTGGCAATATATTTCCACCTTTGTGTCCCATTACTATAGAGAGGCACAGGGACATGAAGAAGAGAATCCTCTGTCATCTACAGCAAGGGTCCCACTAGGGCAGGGTAAATGCCCATTTTCAGGGAATGGTGAGCGGGGGAAGATTGCCCAGCTGCAGGTTCTATGTGCTTTATTAAAAATGTAAGACTTCATATCCTAGGGATAATGATCTGAACACTAAGGCCTAGTCCACACTACAGGATTAGCTTGACATAACCTGCCTTGTGTAGACCTAGCAGTAGAAGTGTCTTTGCTTAAATTTTGCTCCTGCCAACATGAGTGGTTCTGTACACCAATTTAGTAACAGCATCTCTCCAAGCGACGTAGACTCATGATTGATGTAATTAGGTTGACACAGTGTCAATGTAGACACTGTGTTGCTTATGTTGACTGTTACTGGCATTCAGGAGCTGTCCCATAATGCCCCACACTGACAATACAATCAGTACAAGCGCTCCTGGTGAGGACGCACAACGCTGAAACAAGGAGCCAAGTGTGCGCACACACAAGCATTTTAATAACTGTGGTAGCTGTATGCCAAAGTAAATCAGGTCAACATAACTCTGTAGTGTAGACATGGTCTTAGGGTTAGGGTGAGGCAAAGAAAATTAGGACACAAGTGGGCAAGACAAAAAAAACCCCTGTGTATTAAGGATGGAATAATCAATTCCAGTCAATGTGCAGTCAGTGAGAGTTGGGCACCTAACTCCCTTAGGCCACTCTGACAATCCATGTCACAGATCACTGCCTGGAGCAAGAGTCCACTGTATCATTCCACATTCTGCAGCACCCAGAGCCTACTTACTGCAGATTCAGTTTCAAGTCCCTTCAGAGGACCAAGCCCATTCCCAGCACCTCTCCATGGAACTCAGTGGATTTCTAGCCAGGATACATTGGGCCCATGCTGTTGAGCTGTTTTCTGTTCACTCCCCTGCTAATGTCCACTGGGGATAACCACAGCTCGGTGGCCCTCATGGGAATTTTCTATGGAATTCCTCATTCGGTCTGTTTTTTTAATTGCTTTGGTTGCTATCAACACTTGAATCCCTGTGCTGTTGATACACCTTTGAACACCATGCAGAAGCTTAATGCTATGGAAGAGACTGGCACAGATTGTGCCCACTGCCCATTTGAAGGGACATGAGGTCTCAGTTCACACCCCATTTCCATGTGAATGCTACAGACATCTCACAGCAGGATTGCCCAGGATGGCTCAGGAGATAAGAGATGAAGCAGCTGCTTTCACCTCTAACTCACCTGTTCAAACCTAGCCCCAATGAGTACTGACCCAGTGTCCTCCCTTTTTGACTTCTGAAGAAAGATTGACTTTGTGTCTCAACTCCTTGGACACTTAATAACAGCACCCCCCAGCCATCCCCTCCATCCAAACTGGAACAGCTGACCCCCGTTAGCAGCCTCAGCAGAAACCAAGGACACATTCTGATCAGAAGAGACCGTCTCAAAAGTGGAAGAGACTAGTTCAGTCTCTGATTCCCTGCCACTTCATGGCTTCTCCATGGACACTGTGATGGCCATCAAAGGCGACATTTTTTGCCATGTAAAGACGTGGTGGGTTTTGTAGAGATGAGTTCAAAGCTGATGCATATGATCCATCATTTCCTTATGAGCCAAATCCATATCATTTTGAGGATTCTTCAATGGTTGTATTTGCTGTCATGTTACTTTTAATAGTATTTGCCATAATTATTTGGAGACACATTTTCAAATGTTGCTTTTATTTTGCACTCTGAAAGAACTCCAGATTTGCACACAAAAGCTACATATTTAGACAGGAATTTCAAAGGAATCTAAGGCAGTTTATTCACTAGATAAGAATTCATAAGAACTTGATTCAGGCCCAGGATGTCATAGGTATTTAGGTGTCTAACTCCCATGGGCCTCGGATCCTTTTTTCTCCATTGACATACTTAGTGACTTTGGTAAATAGCCAATACTTGGTGCTTTACAGGAAGGTCAGAAATCACTTTGCCCAGTGGTGGACATGGGATGTAATTTTCTTCTGATGCTCATAGGCCATTAGGCAACAAATTAAATGGCCAGATTGTCAAAGAAACACAATACACTGGGTGTTGAATAAAGCTGCTCATGAAATGATTGGTTTGTTTGCTTGCTTGTCAAAAATTTTCTTGGGAAATTTTTTTGAGGTTTCTTCAAAAAACCCTAAAGACAAAAATAATAATAAATAAATAAACCAAACAAAAACCTGATTTTTTTTTCTTTAGGAAAAAAAAACAAAAATTTCAATGAGAACTGATTTTTTTGAAGAAATTTTCAAGGGGAAATATCAGATGAGTTTGCAAAATGAAAAGTTAAAAACAAAGAATTGGAAAGTGTCAAGAAAAAAGCCAAAATTTCGGAGTGAAACATTTAGTCAAAGTTATCTTATTTTTGACATTTCAAAATGTCAGTACTTTTGGCATTTTTGATGTGTTGAAAATAAGATGACAGTGAAATAATAGAAAGAAGCCCATTTGTGAGTTATTGTTATAGCAGAGGTGTGTGTGTGTGTGTGTGTGTTATTTGTGTGTGCGTGTGTGTGTGTGTGTGTAAAAGACTAGCTCTGGGCCTGGTAAGAAACAGGGAGAGACAAGAGCAAAAGGAAGAAAGCAAAGCAGCAGGCTGTAAGTACAGTGTGAACCTGGGAGGAGCCCACAAAGAGGTTCTGGGCTTGTGGATGAACTAAGCTTGGATCTGTAAACTAAGAAACTACTCCTTTTGTCTTTGGTTCCTCCTCCTACAGAGAAGCAGGAATTTGTACATTCCTTGTAACTAAACACGATTGCATCAAAGAAAGTACAAGATTTTATCATCATTTTCTACTTCCAGCTGGAATGAGCTACCAGGCCCCAAACTCTGGCTATCCACTTGGGTCAAAAAGGGGCAACATATCCAAACTCATGTTATTGAGATCAATGCAGGGGTAAACAGGTGAAATCTAATGGTTTGTAATATACAGAAGATCAGACCATATAATCTTTTGGTCCGTTTTGGGCTTAAACTCTAGGAATCGATGACTTTATAGAGCTGCTCTCCACTATGCTTGCATCTGGTTCTAACAGATTTTAGCACATTCATTATTTCCCCCTAAAAGGTTGGACCAACACAAAAAGGAAACAACCATGGTGTCATAATGACACTTGAGAAGCATAATTTGACATTGATAAGAGGTAGCCATTTCCCCTTCTGGATTAACACCCACCAAAAATAACCCAGATATTCACCCAGGGTCATCAAATGCAGTATATAAAGTACAGGAGGAAAAGGGCATACAACCATCAGCCACCTACTCTGTATTAATGAATTTATGGAAATTAATACCCTCAAAGAACACATGAATATGCCATTGTTTGCTTAATTGAGACTAAAAGCTTTATAATACAATGTAGAAAGCCCAAGTTTTAGAATAATGTTAACATTGATGGACCCACTAATTAATGAAAAGAACACCTCAGAGGGCCTGATTCCCATTGGTTGGCCAAGCCTATGAAGGTCTTACAATTAACTTGACAGCATTTCTCTGTCTATATACTCCGATAACTTTTGAATAGCACATCTGATCAGTTCCAAAATTTCAGGGAATATTTTAGGAATCAATGGCCAGAATCCAGCTTATTTTGGTAAAAATCAACAAAGGAAAAATATGGGACACATGGAGCTTCTGCCATATGATTAGCACATCCACAACTACAACCACCTTTGCAATTGTCAGTAGCTCATAGAATTGGTCCACCATTAAAGTCTTTCACCATAACAATACTCTATTTCATCTTTGTCAGTCCTCCCAATAGAGTTTAACATCTTGACATCTTGCATTACTCATAGAGAAAGAAGACAAATAACTAGGGGAAGGACTAGGAGAAAATGTAGGGGAAAGGAGGGAATGGGGGTGTACACAGCCCCTGGCATGGAGAGGGAGAGAACATGGGGACACTGGTCAGGGGACAAAGCCACACATACAACCACTGCTATGGGGGAAGGATGGAGGCCCTGGTATTGGAGGAGGGCAGGATGAGGGACACAATGAACTTCTGGTGGAGGGGAGATTGGTGGAGCGCCAGGGAGGAAGGCTAAAAACACATCTATTTGTGTAACTATTCACACAAATTATTACCAAATACTTCATCTATGGTAATTCACTCTACTTAAGCTCAGGAAAATATATAAGAAATGTAGTCAGAAGGGCTAGAGAAAATGTGGAGGTATAGTGATCCCTAAGGTTATCAGACAGAAATATTACAACATTTTAGGAGAAAATAAATAGATCTTTCAAGATTACTAAAGTTAGGCCACCTGCTGAACTCACAGCTATAGAACAAAGTGGGTTATTGACTCAGGGAAGGACCGATTCACCATTATTGCTAGTAGCCAGATCTGTGAGAGCTCATGTTTGGAGAAGGACAGATCCACTAACATTAGTAGCATGGAGAAATAAAGTATGGGAAATCCTTCCAATGGAGAAAATGGCAGAGATCCCTAGCTCAGGGTCAAGTAGAATGCATAAGGAATTAATACCATGTTTGGCAGCTGAACATCACGAATACAAACTTCATGCTAAGAGGCTCACCAATACAATTTTCCCCCATGTCACATACAGTAATTGTGAATGAAAACATTTAATCTGATGGGAAGTTCATGCAAGATAATTATTACAAAATGGAAAAAAAGCTCATCCAAGATAAATTCCATCCTTATAATTTCCTCTCTGAGAAAAGGATTCTTCTCATCAGTCTCCTGATGGCTTTTTTCATCTCAGCATTTTTCAGGGTGTAGATCATTGCATTAATCATCGGGGTGATTAGGGTGAAAAAGACTGAGGCCAACTTGTCCATGGGGAATTTCCGGAAGGGCCGAGCATAGATGAAGGTGGAAGGTATGAATTGTAAACACACAACTGTGATCTGGGTTCCACAGGTGGAGAGAGCTTTGCGCTTCCCATCTGTGACGTGTTTCTTTATCTTGATTAAGATGATGGTGTATGAAATGAGCAGGATGATGAACATTACTATGACAAGCATCCCGCTGTTGGAGACCATCAGCAACTCAACCAAGTAGGTGTCAGTGCAGGCCAGTTTGATGACTTGTGGGACATCACAGTAGAAATTATCCAGGATGTTTGGACCACAGAATGGCAACCGGAGGACCAGTGCGATCTGAACAATTGAGTGAGCAAATCCACCCATCCATGCCCCTGCCACCAGGCCCACACACACACCCTGGTTCATGATATTCAAGTAACGCAATGGTTTATAGATAGCTACATACCGATCAACTGCCATCAACACAAAAACTAAAATTGCAGCACCAGCGAAGAAGTGGAAGAAGAACATCTGGAGGATGCACTCATTGAATGAGATGGTTCTGTGCTGGGAGAGGAGACCCAACAGCAATTTGGGAGCAGTGACAGTCGTTGACATCTAGGAAAGCCAAGTTGGCCAGCAGGAAGTACATGGGGGTGTGGAGCTGGTGCTCAGTTATCACAGTGATGATGATGGTAACATTTCCCACCCAGGTTGTAAGGTACACTATGAAGAAGATGATGAAGAGGCATCGCTGAATCTCAGGACTCTGGGTGAGGCCCAAAAGGACAAATTCTGTCACTGTGGAGCTGAGGTTCTGCTGTTCCATTCATTGGCCTCAAAACATGCCTACAGAGGCAACTGTAATAATTAGTATGAAGAAGTTCTTATTACTCCCTCCTTAAATTACTAATGTTAAGTAAGTATTAACTCCTCTTAACTGAATTTGGTTTAGGAATTTCCTTAGCTCACTAAATTCAGTCAGCCTCAGTGGAGGGCAACCCTGCTTCAGCAGACCCTAGGAGCTACACCAATGGTCATCCTCAGTTCTGGGGTAATTAGGAGTGAAGGAGAGCAGCCTACAATTCAAGATCATGTCTAACTGCTGCCTCCATTCACCTTCCTGCAGTTCTGATGCTGCACATCTCCTGAGGCCCAGAGGGTCAGGGTTGAGTGGAATGTGGGTTTCAGAGAGTGCTTTTAAGTTGGACTTCTCAGAGTCCAATGGTTCTCAAAATGCAGGTCACAAAGAAGTGTCAGGAGATCATGATGACCAAAATGCCCTTCCTATATTCACAAGTGACAGGGAAGTCGCAGGTAACTCCTGGTCTAGACCGAAGAGGAATTGAATTGAAAATTTTGAGAACCACTGATTTACAGGATTCACATACCCAACCTGTGGCCTTGATGTGAGAGGTATTGAACATCTGTAGCCCACATTAACAAAGTGATAGTAGTTGTCCCCTTCTAGTGGCTACAAGAAGAAAAGGAATTAAATCTTTTTCTCTTTAGCAGAAATTGCATGTGTTCCCCACATGTGAAATAAATATAGTTACTGTAATAAGATGTCCATGGATTCTGGTGCTTAATTGTAAATACCTCTATTTAAAAGCTGTGAACACTGGAATATTTCCATGAATGAATAGAGATATAAATATTGAAAACTACTGTGGGGTTATGGATGCTCAACTCCCATTAACATTTTAAAAAATCTCTAGAAGTAGTTGGCAAAAAAAAATGTTCCCAATAATGTTCTCAAGAAATTGTCAATATTTCTAATTTTACAAGGTTAAATTTCTAAAGCAAGAAAATGAAAATTTTCACATCATTGGCAATTATTCGACATTGGTGAGGCCTCATCTGGAATACTGTGTCCAGTTTTGGGCCCCACACTACAAGAAGGATGTGGAAAAATTGGAAAGAGTCCAGCGGAGGGCAACAAAAATGATTAGGGGTCTGGAGCACATGACTTATGAGGAGAGGCTGAGGGAACTGGGATTGTTTAATCTGCAGAAGAGAAGAATGAGGGGGGATTTGATAGCAGCCTTCAACTACCTGAAGGGGGGTTCCAAAGAGGATGGAGCTCGGCTGTTCTCA